GCAGGAAGGACAAATGAAGTCTAAGAGTTCAGAAATAATACACACATATTACTGAATACAAATATATACAAACACCTGGAAACCGAGCCACTAACATCTGAATTAATACAGGCAAGGTGCGACAAGGCAATAATTAACTTACAAAGAGATAAATTACAATAAGGAAGTACGGCAGTACACTGACATTGTTAAGCACAAAAGGACAATATGGGTTTTAGTCTCTAAGCCTTATGATATCATACTCCAATATAAGTGCTTTGTGGCTGAGTACTTCACTTATCAGCACAGGTATAAAGTGAGCTAGTACATGACATTTATATTCAACCTAGGCACTGACTTTTAAAGGGAACTGTGTCATAATTATAAATTTGATAGTGGAAATTCTACCGTCAGGCCAGTCATTACCTATAATCCCACTTAAACATCATGAGTTCAAAGACAGCTTTGCCTACATAGTGCATTTGTCAGATTGGATTATGTGGGATACGGTCAAAAAAAAAAAGTCTAGAGCCATGTAGGTTGCAGAATAGCAGAGACAGGAACCAACAGAGACGTAAAGAGAATCTCTGTGGTGGGTAGAAGAGATATTCACAAGTCTGATCAGGATGTTGCTGGAGACTCACAGAGCCCTTCATGGCGAGCTATGTAGAGGCAAATGAGCTGCAGGACAGACAAGGCAAGGCAATTCCCAGTGGACTGAGGTTAGCAAGGGAGGCCTGTACTGAGCTACACACCTTGGGGACAGTTAGGAATTTGTCACCTGTCCACCCCATCCCACAACACGGGCACCTGATGGTCAGCGGGTGTCACTGTGTCCCAAAGTATAGTGTGTCTCTTTTGCTTGCAGGTGAAACAGTTGTACCTTCCACTGGTCTAGTGCTCTCGAAAGTTCATAGGCAGTTCCCACATGGCTGTGTCATGCCCACGTTCCTCTGTGATCCCGACCTACACTGCTAAATTCATTGGTGGGACTTTTTACTTAAGCGGGCAAGTCATTTATGTCTGTGCCCTTATGGTTCACACTGGGAAAGCAGAGGTTGTTTATTTATACAAACAACACACACAGCCATTCTGTGTACTAACTTGCTTTCTAGTGCCACGAAAGTGACCATGACCAAAGACAACTTAGGGGAAAGGAGTTATTTGGCTTACACATCCTATTCATAGTTCATCAATCAGGGAAACCTAAGCAGAAAGTCAAGCAGAGCAGGACCGTGGAGGGGGAAACTGAAACAGAAACCACCAAGGATGATGCGTACTTGATCTGCATGGGTTGCTCAGCCTGTTTCCTTGTACTACCCAGAACCACCTGCCCGGGGGTGGCACCCACCACAGCAGGATGGGCCCTCCCACATCAATCATTAATCAAGAAAATACCGCACCGGTCTGCCTACGGGCTAATCTGATGAAAGCATAAACACATCAAAACAAAAAACCCACCCAGCACAACCTGTCTCTGTATTTTCACTCAAAATACAGCTGTCGGGACACCGCGCAGCCTGAAACCCTGCTCCGCACAGCCTGGAGTAGCATAGAGAAGGGCAGAGCCTGAGCATCACAGAGGTTCAAGAGAGAGGCTGGGAAGGACCTGAAAGCTCTGGTGGGGTTTTCCAAAGTACAGAGCATGGGCAACAGCGGGAGAAGGAGGAAGTGGAGGGCTGATGGAGAAGCAACTGCAGGCCAGACTGAGGTGATAGAAACGACAGAGACCAGCCATGATGGTGGTAAAGCAACTGCAGAGTTAGCCAAGGATGAGAGCCTGAGGCACATGCAAACACACACACACACACACACACACACACACACACAGAGTCTTCCACAGAAGTGAGTGGTGGGCTACAAGGGATGCAGACAGCAGAGGCAGCCAGCATGCCTGCAGAGGACACGTGAGGGGCGGTGCACATGGCACATGGCAGGGGTGGGTGGATGGCTCCCAGGAGCTCCACAATCAGTCTAGAAACACAATATGGTCCTCTTCATGGACAAAGAGTTCCAAACAGTACTTCTTATCTGGGATGTGCCAGAGTCAGTGAAATATCTCATCCTATGTATCTTCTCTTATAGTTGATTTTAAACAATTTTAACATTCAAGTGCAGCTTCAGAAAAATCTTGGAGATGAAAAATAAACATGACCACATCCTTAGAAAGCACATCTTTTAATAATCATGGCATCAAAATGGAAATTACTTAAGAGACCTAGGTTTATTTTTCAATTGTACACATCCTTATTTAAGCACTGTTACTCATGTACCCATCTTCTATGGAAATCCAATCAACAGATTGGCATGCTGTCAGGATTTATGTGAATTAACTCTCCATCTGCAGAGGAGGGCTGGGTAATGCAATACCAACCAGACCTACAGGCTGCAACACAAACGGAAATGTAAAACCCACACAAGCAGGAGAGGGAGAGGTAAGATTCAAGGTGACCCCACTCTCCATAGTTAGAGGTCACCCTGAGCTATGGTGAGACCCTGCCTCCAAAAAAAAAAAAAAAAAAAAAAAAAAAAAAAAAAAAAAAAAAAAAAAAAAAAAAAAAAAAAAAAAAAAGGGAAAAAGAAAAGGGGGAAAGAGGGAAGAGGGGGGGGGAGGAGGGAGGGGGGGGGGGGGGGGGGGGGGGGGGGGGGGGGGGGGGGGGGGAGGGAGGGAGGGAGGGACAAAGGGACAGAGGGAAGGAGGGACATGGGCAGGCAGGCATTCTGGCAACCACGGATTCAGGGAAGTAGCAGGTGATGGGCTAGAGGAATGAGCGCAGAGAACACTGAACTTGATACTCTGCATTCTCCTGTCTGATGGGGGCTCAATTGGTAAGCAGGCTGAAAAAATCAGAATCCACAATAGGAAAAAGCAATCCACCTATCCCACAGTTCAAGTCAGGAGAAGAGACAGCAAGCCGTTCACATTCACACAGTCTTCATTCTCCGAATAGCACTTTTGAGTGGGGGGGTCTAACTATGTTGTTGTGGCCTTAAGGAATCGAGTAATCCTCCAGCCTCATCCTCCCACACAGCAACTGACAATATGGATTTGTGTAATATACATAAGGATAGGGACAACCAGGTTTCTCTGTGACACCAGAATCCCCACAGAGCTGCCTCAGCCACTTCTCTAGACACGAATGGGCTACCTGAGGTTACTACTATGAGCTGCAGCTTGTCCTTCAACACAAGTATCACTCAGCCCCTTTCAGAGATTCGCCTGCCTCTGCTTCCTGAGTGCTGGGATTAAAGGTGTGAGCTTCTACTGCCTGGCCTGGCTGGAAGACCACTTTAAATGTTCTCTCTCTCTCTCTCTCTCTCTCTCCCTCTCTCTCCCTCCCCCCCCCCCCCCCCCCCCC